ACCACGCGCCGGGAGGAGGTAGAAGGAGACACAAGGGCTGGGTCAGAACCAGATGTGACAACCAGTGCCATCAAATTCTTTATTTTTAAGGTCAAAAAAAGGTTTTAACAGCAAACAGGGAACAAATAAACCAAGTTTGGGGCCTTAATATGGCAAATTAAATAGGTGAAGGCGGCAGCCGCCGTGGCTGAGCTGATTCCACCACCAACTCCTCATCCTCCTCACCAGGAACTGGTGCTGAACCCAAAAACCCAACCCAAAAACTCACAACTGAACCCAACCACCAACTCCCCAACGTGAGGGTGTTGGGAAAACCACCCCCCTGGGCAGCGTTGTCACCGGTGTCTTCTGCCAGCGGTGATCACCGAAGCGCTGCCGGGATGGTGCTGGGGGAACTGGGGAGACTGGTGATGGTGCTGGTAATTCCCTGGTGTGTCATCCCCACCGGAGGAAGGAGAGCGAAGCCGGTGCTGGGTAAACTGGAGTGACCACCTGGAAGAGAAACTGGGATTGAGGGCAGAGCACTGAACACACGGCGCTTAATTAGCTGTTATCCTTAACGAGCTCACCGGAATCCCGGTCCCGGCTCCGTCCTGGCTCACACCGCGGCCACAATCCCATTCCTGGCTTCACACCATGGAAATTTCCTCACAACTCCCCCCAGCGAAGCCAAAACCCCAATTTCCACCCATTTTTGGGGTGGGATTTACCATAAAACAACCAAAATACCACACACACCGCTCTTAATTAGCTGCTTCCCCTTAATGAGCTCACCAAAATCATGTTCCCAACTCCGTCCCGGCTCACACCGCGGCCACAATCCCATTCCTGGCTTCACACCATGGAAATTTCCTCACAACTCCCCCCAGCGAAGCCAAAACCCCAATTTCAACCCATTTTGGGGGTGGGATTTACCATAAACCCCCCCAGTACCACACACACTGCTCTTAATTAGCTGATCCCCTAACGAGCTCACCAGAATCCCATTCCTGGCTACTTTATGGCTCACACCGCGGATCTGGAGCGCGGAGGAAACACCTTTGTGCCGTCAACCCGGTCACACCACCACCAAATTTCCCCACAACTCCCCCCAACGAAGCCAAAACCCCAATTTCAACCCATTTTGGGGGTGGGATTTACCATAAACCCCCCCAGTACCACACACACTGCTCTTAATTAGCTGATTCCCCTAACGAGCTCACCGGAATCCTGTTCCTGGCTACTTTATGGCTCACACCGCGGCCACAATCCCATTCCTGGCTTCACACCACCACCAAATTTTCCCACAACCCATCCCTGCCTCGTGCTGGCAAAGCCAAAACCCCAATTTCAACCCATTTTGGGGGTGGGATTTAACATAAACCCCCCCAGTACCACACACACTGCTCTTAATTAGCTGATCCCCTAACGAGCTCACCAGAATCCCATTCCTGGCTACTTTATGGCTCACACCGCGGATCTGGAGCGCGGAGGAAACACCTTTGTGCCGTCAACCCGGTCACACCACCACCAAATTTCCCCACAACTCCCCCCAACGAAGCCAAAACCCCAATTTCCCCCCATTTTGGGGGTGGGATTTACCACAAACCCCCCCGGTACCTTCCGGGGTGACGGATCCATCCTCTTCCCATCGATTACTTGTTACTCACACTCGTGGTCACCGTGGTCACCGTGGTCACCGTGGTCACCGTGGTCCGTCTCCCGGCACCGCCGCGGCTGTAGACCGAGGTGTAACCGCGGTGGGTGAGGGGACAGAAGCGTTTGGTGTGGGCACGGTCCTGGGTGGCACCACACTGGGGACACACGTAGCTCCTTAAAACAGGACACTGGACACGTCCCGCCGCGTCCCGCAGGCTGTGGCCACCATAAACAGCTCTGGCTTCACCGTTGTGTTTGCAGAAGGCACAGATGGTTTTACCAGGAGGTGCTGGTGATGCCGGTTCCTTGGTTGATGATGGTGGTGATGATGGTGATGGTGTCACCGTGGCGGTGTTTTCACGTTGACGTGGTAAAGCCACCAACACAGCTGCCAAACCCAGGTAATCCCTCCACATATCAAAGGTGGGTTCAGGCTCCATCCTTCACCGCGTCCCCCCCAGCTCTGGTTTGAGGCTGGATTTGGTTTCACCTCCTGGTTCCTTCACTGGTGAAGCCAAATCGGTGCCACAACGGGGCTGGTTCTTCCCCTTCCCCCCCTCACCAACCTCCCCC